AATGCGAGTCGAGGCGGACGTCGTCGCGGTAGCGACGACGGACGCCGAGACGAGCACGTGACACCACTGCCACCCTGTCTTAGCGTAACGCGAGTCGAGGCGGACGTCGTCGCAGTAGCGACGACGGACGCCGAGACGAGCACGTGACACCACTGCCACCCTGTCTTAGCGTAACGCGAGTCGAGGCGGACGTCGTCGCAGTAGCGACGACGGACGCCGAGACGAGCACGTGACACCACTGCCACCCTGTCTATCTTAGGGTTACGCAAAATGATAAAAAGTGACAGAACGAAATGTTTTTGTTTTTCATATGTTGTCATGAATTTTCAAAAAATATTCATGATTTCCAGAAAAATCACAAATTCAAAAGTTGTTCTGAATTTTTAAAATGTGTTTTTTTACTTTGGTAATTTTGTCATTAATTTGAAAAAAATTCATAGTAGATTTATTTAATGATCATTCTAGTTTCAACCAAAATGTTGTAGATCAATTGAATTGAGCATGCTATTTTTTCTTAATAAGAATATATTTCATGGACAAATTAGATCTAAGAGAATTTATTTTTCTGTGCACAAGTAGCAATTAATTTTGGTTGAAAGTCATAGTTTATTTCAATTAAAAGTGTAATTTCCCGCCCACAACTGTCCCTGAAAAACCGCTGGCCCAGAAAGGAAATAGGTGAAATAGGAAAATACAGGCCCAAAAGAAACAATATGGAAAGGGAATAGAGCCTAGGGGTGGTATTGGGCCAGCGCTGGGCCAAAGTCACGAACAGGTAGAGCGCTCTCACAGCCAGAATCGATCGAGAAAGGGAATAGGACTGCGCTCCGGTTCGCTGAATTGTCGTTTTGCTGTCGGATCGGCCTGGTCGGCAATCGAGCGCGCCGGCTGGGACGCGCGCGCGCGTTAGCCTTATGTTACCCTTACTTTAAGGCGTCATGTGTGGTTGTTAGATCCTCTAATTTTATTGGTGTGCCACGCAACATTTTAGTTGAATAAAGTCAGGTGACATTCTAAAAAAAACGTTCTACTTGGTCTATAAAAAGTTCTAAAAAATAATCCTAAAAAAAATTCTATAAAATGCTACTCCCTCCATCCACTTTTAGAGGGCTTAACTTTTGAATATCATACCAAGGCACTCTATGAAAACTAGAGAAAATTTAGGGATTCACCCATCATCAAAGCATCGATCTCTTCCTCTTTCCTCATATTAATTTCACTCCTATAATTACGCTACACGTATTGCATTTTTATCCTCTCACGGGTCAAATCTGACATGCATTGGCGTGGAGACCAAAAGAAAACGGCTTGCATGCATGCATGCCATTAAGTGTCTCTATACTTAAAGGCTCACTCACTCCTTACGAGAGAGAATTAAAGGCTGCATGGATCAATTAGCTAATTTGAACTTGTATATATGAAAAAATGAAATTTGAGATTAGGCCTTGTATAAATGGAAGGAGGGAGTACCAGAAAAGAAGAAAATAAAATAAGCACAGCACCAGACTTCGCACACATTCCCCATTCTTCGAGCTCCACAGCCATGGTCTCCCAGTCCCAACAGCCACCCTCGCCGCCGCCGCCGCCGCCCGAGCCGACCAGCATTAGCTCTTTGACCGACGACCTCCTCCGTGAGATCTTCCTCCGCCTACCGGACCTCCCGACCCTTGTCCGCGCGGCCTTCACCTGCCGCCCCTTCCTCTGCCTGGTCCGCTGCTCCCCGGCCTTCCGCCGCCGCTTCCGCGAGCTCCACGCGCCGCCTCTCCTCGCCCTCTTTCTCACACCCTACATGGACGCCGTCATCCCTTCCGCCAGCCGCAGCCCCGACCCGGACACCACTGCCGCCTTCGCCGATTTACTCGGAGACGACGACGCCACCGAGTGGGGGACAGATTCCCAAATTCCCTACTACTACGACGGGTACGTCGCCTTCGTCAACCGGAGCACCGATCAGACTGCCTCCTACAGCCCACTGAATATTGGAGCGCCGGCGCAGGCCCTGGATATCTACCCCAAGACGCCCCGCGAAGGCATCGACGCCTGGCTCGAGTTCTACACGCTCCCTCCGGACCAAGAGGGCCAGAGGCCATCCCGTGTGGTCTGTGTCCGTCACGATCGCTCATGGGCGCGCGCGCGTGTGGCCGTCTTCTCATCTCACGCCCTGAAGTGGCAGATCTTCCCAGAGTCCAGGGGGTTGCTGCTTGAGCGCGACAGGCGCACGATTCGTAAGCTTGTCGATGGGTTCGTCTGCTGGTTACAGAGTGAAAACTGCATTCTCGCTCTCAACACTGTCACCTTTCAGTTCTCTCGAATGAATCTGCCACCGCCCTTGAGAGGGCCATACACATACATGTATCGTACACCGCGCTTTGAGCTTGGTCAGACCAAGGATGGGAAACTCTGTATCGTGCATGTGCAGGAATTCACGCTTTCTGTTTGGCTCTGGACACCCGACGATGACGGCGTCGAGAGATTTATGCTGCACAAGATGTTTCAGTTGCACACAATTGTTAAGGAGATCACTAAGCGTTCAGTCCTGGACAATGTTGACGCTGGAGGGCATATGAACGTTACTGATGGATTTGTGTACCTGTCTGTTGTCTATGACAAGGGTAAGCAATCTTCTAAGTGGTTCCTATCCTTCTGCCTGGAAACAGCAGAGGTGAAGTTGCTCTTTGAGAAAACATGCAGTATTTACTGCCCTGTTGATCCATACATCATGGCCTGGCCTCCTTCTTTGATGCACGACAAGGTGAGTCCATGTATGAAGATGTTTCCTTGTATGTGAGCAATTGCCTTACTTGTGAGCATTGGGTTATTGTATTGCTGTGAAAATCAGCTATCGACTTTTAGTTTTCATGCAGTAACATGTCTGACTTTATCAGTTATGATGCAATGTTTTCAATTTTCATCATCAGGTTTAAACACAAGGATATTTAGCATCAGGGTTTGTGCAGATTATAGTATAATATAAGAAGTGCTACATTGCCGTTATTTTAGACTGCAAATCTTCCTCCCCTGAAAATCTCCTTACACTTACTTTATAATGCTAATCACTATGAGATGGCAGCAGTGTAGCAGTATCTTCAGTTTCATTGCTTATGTAAAAAACAGATAAATTGATACGTATCATTAGAATCTATTGTCCTGCACAAAATTGTCTATAGAACACTCTTACATGCATGAATACTCTAATGCCACAGGGGGATTCAGAAACTGAAGTTGCCAGGGACACTGTTGGAGATGATGGTCCTGTGGGCACGGAAGAAGCTTCCCCTGTCCTCTTCACGGCATTGCAGTTATTCAAAGAAGCTTTGATTGATGATGACAACGCAAAATTTGTGGAGATGGACGCTTTCTTACTTGATGATGAGATTAGCTCCCTTTTGAACAAAATCTCTACTTTAGAAGCAGGATTAGCAGCTGGGAGAGACTGTGTGCTGAGAAGAGGTGCTCATTCCAATATCAACGTGGAAGGGATGGAAAGGAGGAGTTGGTGGGAAATGTGCAAGGGGATGTTGGGGAGAGTTTCTTCCCACTTCTTTGCCAATTGATCTTGGTGCCTTTCTTCTCACAAGTTAAGCGTCAGTTGAAATGCATTGGTAGTTTAGTTTTCGGATCGTGCGAACGCATTATGTGCTAGTTGACTACTATGTCTAACAAAGTGTAGCATCATCAGTACCTCCTCTATCTAGTTTGCAAGAGACTTGTATGTTTAACATGCAGAGATTGACCATTCAGTGTCACCATCAATGTAAGTCATGAGCCTCATCCTAGTGGTTGTCATCCTTGGTTCTGAATCATTGTATGAGGTCTATTTTGCTTTGTAGTCTGCTTGAGTAACTGCCCACTTTTGATCCACTATTGATCTCCAGCCGATTAGTTTCACAACTACATTGTTACATTGGTGGCTCAAGATGCCGGGAGTTCTTTCAGAAAAGGAAAATATTAAATATGAATGGTTACTTGATGATGGGCGGCTTTATCAGCTTCTTGGCTCGAAGAAAAGTGAAGAAACTCATCATTTTTATTTTTCACGGGGGAAGAAGCTCATCATTAAGTGCACGAAGGTGATACTGGGAATGTTAGACCTGGATTCTGATGAGAGGTGTTGGACGTCGCGCCAAGAGGCGATGCTAGATTGGTAGGATGAACGGCTTCATCGGCTACTTCACTAGATTGGTAGGATGAACGACTTTCAATCCTGGAGATCGGACGGTGGAAGATGGCGGCAGTAGATCTAGAGCATGCGCATGCGGTGCGCGCTGCGGATCAGCCAGTCCGGGTGGTGCTCTCGGTCCGATGCGGAGCAGCTGCATGAGGCCATTGGATTAGATAGTGCATGTTCATGCGGTTCGGACACATTATAAAGATCGTAGGTGTTGCACTTTGCTCGTCAGATAGGTGGCTTTGGATTGATTCATGTATTCATATTGTCAGATTCTGTTAAATAATATTAAAGATGGATGCATGCGTTGATTGATGCGGAGACCAGGAGTTATCCTTCTTTTCAAAAAAAAAAAAAACAGCTTCCTCACTTGCATGGCCGCCCCCATGTCATTTTGGAGCAGTTTAGTTGGTGTGTAGAGTATGTATGTGTGCAGGAATTTAGTCAATGGTTGCGTACTTTTTATCTCTAGAATTGAGGAGCTCTTCAAACGAAGAAATTTTGTTTTACAATGTAGAGTGCTCCACCAGATGCTTGAAGTTACTTTTCTCTTTGTGGGGAGATGCTAAGTTACTTTGACGTTGTAGCACCCGTGAAGGGTGGAGAGCAGTTATCTCTCCGATGTACTCCCTCCGTTCGGAATTACTTGTCGCAGAAATGGATGTATCTAGAACATCTAGATACATCCATTTCTGCGACAAGTAATTCCGAACGGAGGGAGTAGGTATATAGGAGCTTGCGTTGAATTGGGTACAATGCCAAATATCTCAGGGCATGTTGATATTGAGCCGCAAAGACAATTCTAGTGTTTAGGTGCCTATGTATTTGGCACTTGGAATCCAAGGGGAGAAGCAATTCAAATTCCTGTTTGGATGGACAAAATGCTGAATTGCACATTTTGAATAGTATGAGCGGTACTTTGCTGTACATGTTTCAGAGTGATTTTTTCATTAGATGTTCATATATTTGCATGATTGTATATCTAGTTACAAGAAAATAATAAGAATATGTGTGTATATCAGATCATTTAATTGGACGCAAACCTCATCCCCAATGTTTGTTTGGACAGAACATATTTGATTCCAGATAGTAAGCAATGTAAATTATACGTAAGTAAGCAAAACTTTTCTCCGAATCCCTCATCTATTCATTTTTTATTGTTAAGCCTGGTTTCTTCATCTGGATTTTCCACTTGGTGTACTACAGAAACCTTTTCGCTAGTTCCTCTGTGTCAGTAGGAAACTATGATTCAGCTATTCAGGTATCTTAGGATCAATCCGACATGAAACTTTTCTTCCCGTAGCCTCTTCATTCAGTAGGGCAATGATAAGTTTCTTTAAAACATCATTGAAACATTGCAGAAACATAATTTTAAACTCCCCTTCAATTTTTCAATTGAACCATGAGTTCGAGTGCCCCCGGATCGATCACACCATAGAAGACCACCGCCGACGCTCCCACGCAAGTTGACTAGTAAGCCGTGAATTCCTTTCAAGCATGAGAGGAGAAGAGACACGCACAACCCAATGGACGGGCCTACCAATGTGTCCTTTTTCTAGCGAGGAATTCTACCATCCATACGGCCTTGGCAACCAAAGAGAGCGAGCATCGAGTGAGATAGAGCCCGCCATATTTTCCACAGGTCGTAGCCCAAAAGAAAAGATGTTGTTAAAAAATGCTCACTAAAAGAAGAGCACGAGACACACATCCTCTTTGGATCTTGCTTTGGTGGCTGGCTTGGAGGTACAATAGGTGGGGTTAGGGCTAAAATACTTCCGCTCGGCAATAGATCATTGGGTGCACCCTATGCAGACCCGCTATAGGGTCTCCAATCTATGAAGAGGTGCATTTCCTACTAGGGTTCACATCCTCCATATCCGCATCGGGGTCTTCCTCCTCACAGAGATCAGATTTGTCTCCTCCTGGACCTCGCTCAAAGCTGCCAAAACCTCTTCCAGATCCACGTCCACGTCCATAACTCCCACGACCATGCCCTTCACCCGGGCCTATTCATGCACCCCTGAACCATGATGCCCAGAGGTTCTTGAACACAAGCAGTGAGGAAGGGTGAACAACGTCCCCATGTTTCTTGAACATATGACCAAGGAGGCCACAGACCACACACTAGTTAAGGAGGTGCTCGTACTTTATGTTAAAAGTGTGATGTTCCTTGTTCTTCACCATTGCCACTGAATTCTTTATAGGTTGTGCAAATTGATCTTGACGCAGACACAATAGAAATTTCCTTTGAAGTCATCATAATTTGGATCTGCATAAATAAACTCACCTACTTTGCCTGCAAAGGTTTAACCATAGGATAAAATGTTGGGGAACGTAGTAATTTCAAAAAAAATTCCTACGCACACGCAAGATCATGGTGATGCATAGCAAGGAGGGGAGAGTGTGATCTACGTACCCTTGTAGACCGACAGCGGAAGCGTTAGCACAACGCGGTTGATGTAGTCGTACGTCTTCACGATCCGACCGATCCAAGCACCGAAACTACGGCACCTCCGAGTTTCAGCACACGTTCAGCTCGATGACGATCCCCGGACTCCGATCCAGCAAAGTGTCGGGGAAGAGTTCCGTCAGCACGACGGCGTGGTGACGATCTTGATGTTCAACTGTCGCAGGGCTTCTCCTAAGCACCACTACAATATTATCGAGGATTATGGTGGAAGGGGGCACCGCACACGGCTAAGAAAACGGTCATGTGGATCAACTTGTGTGTCTAGGGGTGCCCCTGCCTTCGTATATAAAGGAGCCAAGGGGGGGGGGTGCGGCCGGCCCTAGTAGGAGGCGCGCAGGAGGAGTCCTACTCCTACCGGGAGTAGGACTCCCCTCCCTTTCCTTGTCCAAGTAGGAGAGGGGGAAGGAAGGGAGAGAGGAGAGGAAGGAAAGGGGGGGGCGCCGTGTTGGGGAACGTTGCAGAAAATTAAAATTTTTCCTACGGTTTCACCAAGATCCATCTATGAGTTCATCTAAGCAATGAGTCAAGGGAGAGAGTTAGCATCTACATACCACTTGTAGATCGCGTGCGGAAGCTTGCAAGGTGATGATGTAGTCGTACTCGACGTGATTCGAATCACCGATGACCAAGTGCTGAACGGACAGCACCTCCGCGTTCAACACACGTACGGGACGGGAGACGTCTCCTCCTTCTTGATCCAGCAAGGGGGAAGGAGAGGTTGAGGAAGACAGCTCCACCGGCAGCACGACGGCGTGGTGATGGTGGAGAGGCAGTACTCCGACAGGGCTTCGCCAAGCACACAACGGAGGAGGAGAGGTGTTGGGGAGGGGAGGGCTGCGCCTTGGAGGGTGGTCCGGCTGCCCTCCCCTCACCCCTCTATTTATAGGGGGAAGGGAGAAGGGGGCCGGCCCCCTAGAACCCATCTAGGGGGGGTGCGGCGGCCTAGGGGAGAGGGGAGAGGGTGGCTTGCCCCCCAAGCCAAGGGGGGCGCCCCCTCTAGGGTTCCCCCCTCAACCCTAGGCGCATGGGCCCAAGGGAGGGGGTGCGGCCAGCCCACCAGGGGCTGGCTCCCTGCCCCACGCAGCCCATGTGGCCCCCCCGGGAGGGGTGGCCCCTCCCGGTGGACCCCCGGAACTCTTCCGGTGGCCCCGGTACAATACCGGTATGACCCCGAAACTTCCCGGTGTCTGTTTGACAACTTCCCATATATAAATCTTTACCTCCGGACCCTTCCGGAGCTCCTCGTGACGTCCAGGATCCCATCCAGGACTCCGAAGAACATTCGGTAGTCACATACTAGTCTTCCTAATAACTCTAGCGTCACCGAACCTTAAGTGTGTAGACCCTACGGGTTCGGGAGACATGCAGACATGACCGAGACGCTCTCAGTCAATAACCAACAACGGGATCTGGATACCCATGATGGCTCCCACATGCTCCTCGATGTTGTCATCGGATGAACCACGATGTCGAGGATTCGATCAAACCCTGTATGCAATTCCCTTTGTCAATCGGTACGTTACTTGCCCGAGACTCGATCGTCGGTATCCCAATACCTTGTTCAGTCTCGTTACCGGCAAGTCACTTTACTCGTACCGTAATGCATGATCCCGTGTCCAACACCTTGGTCACATTGAGCTCATTATGATGATGCATTACCGAGTGGGCCCAGAGATACCTCTCCGTCATACGGAGTGACAAATCCCAGTCTCGATCCGTGTCAACCCAACAGATACTTTCGGAGATACCTGTAATGCACCTTTATAGTCACCCAGTTACGTTGTGACGTTTGATACACCCAAGGCACTCTTACGGTATCCGGGAGTTACACGATCTCATGGTCGAAGGAAGAGATACTTGACACTGGCAAAGCTCTAGCAAAACGAACTACACAATCTTTTATGCTATGCTTAGGA